TTCTGACGGGCATGTGAAGAACATCAATTAGAGTTCTTGACCTTAAGAAAAGATCGCGATCGTGAATTTCATGACATGATCTCTGAAGAGAGAAAGAGTTAGGGTTTTCGCTTGATAGAAGAGAGGGAGTTTAGAGAAGAAGATGAGGCCTTCAACTTTGGAGCTTGAACTTGTTTTCCATATTGGACCTAAGACTAACTCCAACCCAAAAGGTTATATTTAGCCTCTCAAGCTCTCAAATGTGCATTTTTACCTTCCAAAAACACTTTTTTGCTCCAACCCTAAACCTTCTAAATTTGCCTTCCCAACTCATAACCAACCAATCAAAAATTAAGAAAGTAAAAAGAAAAAAAAAAGAGAAGATGCTGGAAAGTGGAGGGCCCCAACGTGTGGGCTTGGGTTCCATGGTTGGTCCCCCACCTTCTCCTTGCATTTTTCCATATCAGCTTCTATCTATCCACCCCCAAGCCCACTTCTCCAAATTTGCAAGCCAAATAATTGGTGGGTTGGAAATGAAAAAAGCCAAAAACCTCCCTTTCTCCAAATTTGCATGCTTGGGTCGGAGACAGTCTAAGAAGATTAAATTTCTCTGCTCCCTTTTTAGTTTCTAGTGCTTCCTCCCCCTCTCATGGTGTGATCTCATTGTATTTGGGTTAAGTTGAACCCTAGCTAGTATAGATGATTGTTTAGGAGTGGAATGTTCATGTAAGAACCCTATATCACTTAATGATTATTTGATGTTTGATTATGCCAATTTGTAGCTTTAGACTAAGTTATTGATTGCCTTGTTCTTGTCCTAATCTATTCACCATCTAATTAGGTCAAAGGATAGAACCCACATCATGTAATATGAGATTTTAGTTGCATGAATATTGAATATTTTTCCCATTTTCCTTAAGGTTTTTATCCAAGTTGAGAATATATGCTTAATACTCTAGGATTTAGTTGGTTGCATGACCATTGAGTTAAGTAGTTACCTAGGAGTGCACCCTAAGTGCATGAACATTGACTTGATTGCTAGCTAAATAGATTCCGACATCACAAAGGATTAGAGGAACTACATGAATGTTTCATCCCGTTTATTCCATACTATACCTATGGGGATATACGAGTTCAACTATCTCACCTTTACGTAGATTAATCATTAATCATTAATTTGAAGGTTGTTCGTCATAAGAAATTCACCCCTCAATTGTTAAGTTAGATAGTAACAAAGGTTTGAAGTAGCAATAGATCCGATAATCCGTGAAAATACGATCTAAAAAGACCACCAATCTACTACGCCGTCTAATTAATGTATACATGATTTGATTAGTCTAGTAGAGTAGTTAGACCTTGAGTTTATTATAACTTGAGCGTCCTATCAGTGGTCCAAATCCGGTCACCCTGAACCAATTGTTTAACTGGAAAAGTCTAAGCACATTATTAGCTATATAGGAGATGCCGATTCCTACTGATCCCTCCAAATTTTCAACAGGGAGGAATCAAATATTGTTAGAACTACACAAGATATTAATTTCAATGAGATATTGGATACGAATAAATATCATATGATGTATGTATTTGGATAAATTATTAATTCATCGTTAGTACGACAACATGCGTGGTAGATGATGGAAGCAAGAAGCCAAAACAAGTTAGGTTCCAGAGTTTATTAGTCTGAACTTATGAATTGAGTATCTGGGGGCAGATGAAGATTACCTCTCGGTTAAATATGCTTTTACTTTTTTTTTTAACAAAAAATAGATATATATTGAATCAGATCAGAAGATAGTTACATCCTGGAAAACAGCCAGGCCCGAAAATCAAAAGAACGACTCGCGGTCGGGTACAATGAAAGGGCCTTACGAGCCACCAAATGGGCTACCCTATTATACCTCCGTCCTACAAATCGCACACTAAACCCAGGAGCGCTATGCCAAAGCATCCGAAGTTCCTCCAAGATAGCACCCACTCGGTTGTCACTGCTATCCGCACGATTAATCTTATCAATGATGATCTTGGCGTCCCCTTCAAATTGCACCACCTCAAGTCCCAGTTCTAAGCACCAACACACAGCCTCTCGCAAGACAAGCAGCTCCACCACCAACGTATCATCCATCCCAGGCAGCCACACCCCCCTAGCCAACCATACATCCCTCGAAGGAGTGTAAAGGACTACCCCACCAGCCCCGTGCGATCCATTCCGAACTGCCCCATCCCACATGCACACAACCCCCTCAGCCAGGCCCGGATTAGGCCCCAACGGGGGAAGGCGTGAAACACCTCCCTGTACAGGATCCCCTGGTAACCTGATCCACTCCTCATACTGCTGCTGAAACTGTCGCATTAAAGCTGCGAATCCAAACTGCTTGCCCTCGAAGACAAACCAGTTACGGGATCGCCAAATACGCCACAGGACAGCAACCAAAGCCATGAACAAGCGCGGCTGGTGAATCAGAGCCATCAACTTCTTGAGAAACAACGGGAAAGTCTGGCGGAGAGCCCCTCCCCCAAATAGGCCAGCCCCGAAAGATCCCAAAGGGCCCGAGCAACAGGACAATCCAAAAACAAATGCTCCAAAGTTTCCTGGCTTCCCCAACAGACCGGACACCGAGGGTGAACCTGCACCCCCCTCTCCAAAAGAGCCTCTGTAGTGGGCAAAATGCGATTACAGATCTGCCAGACAAAGATTTTAAGCTTAGGCGGGATATTCGAGTCCCAAACACGAATCCAGGTCTGCTTATCCATCCACCCCACCACGGATCGCCACCCCCCTTTTCTCCTATCTACATCCATCGCCAAATGATAGGCCGACTTTACCGTAAAGACCCCATCCACCGTTGCATGCCAAATCAACTTATCCTCCACATTCTGACGCGGGAGAGGGATAGCCCTAATAGCCTCACAGGTAGACGGATCAAACCATCGCTCTAACTTGCTCTCATCCCACTGTCCTCCCCCCAAACACATAACCTCAGCCACCCGGGGGTACCCGCCCTCTGGCAAAACCCGGGGATTATAATTAGGAGAATCATGCAGCAGACGAGGGATCCACTTAGAGGCCAACAAGGGCGCCGAGTGACCATTCCCAATTTGCCACCGCAGACCTTGACTCAACAGCTGTCTACCAAACAAGATGCTCTGCCAACCCCAAGAGGGTCTGGATCGAGCCGAAGCTTCCAAAAAAGACCCCTTGGGGAAATACTTTCCTTTATAAACCTGTGCCAAAAGGGAATGGGGTTCATTGAGGATTCGCCACCCAATTTTAGCAAGCAAGGCCTGGTTAAATTGCTCATACCGGGGCTGGGGAGTGCAGTTCGGCAGGGTTGGTTGTTGGGAAGTTGGATGAGTATGGGTCCAACTTGAGTAACCAGTCGAGTGGGGGGCTAAAGCGAGCATTGGAGGTTGTGGAGGGTGAGGTGGGGGTCCCGCCCACGCCCAAGAAACAATTTGTCGAAGACATGGAAGAGCAGGAGAAGGTGGAGGAAGCCAGCCTGGAGTGGCCCCAGCCGGTTAAATAAGGCTTCTCGCCTGGAATGTGAGAGGCATTGGACCTTCTCTCACATTCCAAACGGCATTGGGTTTGGTCCGTTCCAACAGTCCGGAGCTCGTGTTTTTCTCTGAAACTCGGTCTAGCCGGCGTGTTGTCTCCCGTCGTATGCGGGGCTTAGGGTTTGATATTTCTCGGTGTTTTTTTGTTGATGCGGTTGATGCGTCTGGGGGCCTAGTGCTGGCCTGGTCCCCCGATGTTGATGCTTCTATTTTTTATTCTGCCAGCTTCTGTATTTGCACCCAGATTAATGAAGTTGGCTTTTCTTATATTGTGGTTTGTGTTTATATTAGTTGTTCAGTTTCTGTTAGAACGGCCCAGTTGGCCCACCTTCAAGAAATATGTTCTACGTTCACTATCCCTTATGTGGTTATTGGTGATTTTAATACGATTCTGTCGGAAAGTGAAAAAGACGGTGGTAACCCTTGGAGTGCCAATAACTCGAGCAGTTTGCAGACCTTTATTAATGATTTGGGACTCCATGATCCTGGTTACCAAGGTGATCTCTTCACCTGGACAAACAAGAGAATGGGCATTGCTTGCATTAGAGAGCGATTGGATAGGGCCCTGTGCTCTCAAGCCTGGATAGATCGTTTCCCGGAAACCTTACTGAAGCACTTTACGGACCAAGGCTCTGACCATAGAGCCCTCCTCCTCTCGGATAAGCCTTATAGGCGCCACTGCCGTCCCCTCTTTCGGTTTGATGCCCGTTGGGCGGAGAACCCGGAAGTTAGGGCGATGGTAACCTATGTCTGGCAGGAGGAGGTTCAGTGGACCCCTATGTTCTGCCTGTGGGAGCGCTTGAAAAAGCTGAGACATCTGCTTTATGATTGGAGTAGGGCGGGAACGACTAATTCCTTGCGGAATATTCGGACTCTCCAGGGCGAGATTGATAGGATCAAGCTAATTCAGCCTATTGACTGGGACGCGATCCGGGGGTTGGAGGCTGATCTGAGCCGGCAATGGGAGGCAGAGGAGCTGTTCTGGCAGCAGAAGTCCAGGGTCCACTGGCTCAAAAAGGGTGATAAAAATACGTCCTACTTTCACACGGTGACCAGGACCCGTCGTAAGAGGAATTTTGTGACTGGCCTTCGCAGGGATGACGGGGAGTGGGTTACTGATGAGAAGGATAAAGCTGAGAGGTGCGTAAAACAGTCTTCTCCATGGGCTCTAAACAGGCGCCGGGGTCCGATGGGTTTACAGGAAATTTTTTTAAGGCTTTTTGGGATATTGTGGGTGACTCGGTGATTTCAGCTGTATGTTCTTTCTTTGCTACGAGTCGTATGCTTCGTAGCTTTAACCATACGTGGCTCACTTTGATCCCTAAGGTGGATAATGTGGAAACTATGCGACAGTTGCGTCCTATCAGTCTCTGCCAATTTGTTTATAAAATAATCACTAAGATCATGGCTGGACGTCTTGCTTCCCTTTTGCCTATGATTGTCTCTGATTGACAGAATGCTTTCATTCGGGAACGCCAAATTGTGGATAATATTCTCCTGGGGCATGAATTAATGCACTATCTTAAGACTAAAACGAAGGGGAAGAAAGGGTATATGGCTCTGAAGGTCGATATGGAAAAAGCCTATGATAGAGTCGAATGGCCCTTTCTCCTTGCGCTTTTGGATAAGATGGGTTTTAATTCTACCTGGCAGGAGTGGATTCGTGAGTGCCTTCGATCGGCCTCGTTCTCTGTGCTTATGAATGGGACTCCCTCGGGGTTCTTCACTCCTTCTAGAGGGCTTCGGCAGGGGGATCCTCTCTCTCCTCTTTTATTCGTGCTTTGTACGGAGGGATTTGCTGCCCTTCTTCGCAAAGCTATCACCGAAAAGAAATTGGAGGGAGTTAAGGTGGCCCCCCGTGCGCCGCGCATATCCCACCTGTTCTTTGCTGATGACTCTTATCTATTCTTACGAGGGACTCTCCGGGAATGTGAAAACTTGATAGAGGTCCTGAACGAATATGAGGAGTTGAGTGGACAACGGGTGAACTTGGATAAATCGGCAGTCTGCTTTAGCAAAAATGTCCTCCAGGAAGACCAGGAGTTCTTGGCCGCAATTCTGGGTGTTGGGGCGGTTGGGGTCCATGACAAGTACTTGGGCTTGCCTACGCTAATTGCTCGTTCGAAAATGGCCACGTTCAGATACTTGGAGGAAAAGGTGATGGAGCGTCTTCAGGGATGGAAACGGAAAACCTTATCTTGGGCGGCGAGGGAAACTTTGATTAAATCCGTTGCATTGGCTTTACCTCTGCACGTGATGTCTTGCTTTAAGTTGCCTCTTTCCCTCTGTCGGCTTTTAGATAGGCTGGTGGCTCGATTTTGGTGGGGTGACTCTGCGGATCATTCTCATATTCATTGGATGTCGTGGCGGAATTTGTGCCGTAGTAAGCACGAGGGTGGGCTGGGGTTCCGCCGTTTTGCCCTCCTTGCTTCCTCCCATCACCTTGTCACCGCCCTTCTCTGCAATATTTAGGCCTACCTCAAAGGCTGCCACCACCTGACTGACCCTACCCTTAGAGGGAGCGGAAGATGTAGCCATCAGCGGACTTCTACGTTTGATCATAAAGCCCTGAGAGTCCTCCCCCGAGCCTGTTCCTTCCGATCCACTCTCCGTGGGGCCCATAACCCCACTCAAGGGAGAAGGGTGGATATGCTCCCCATCGCCCATCAAAGCATCATCCCTTCCTTCCCTTTTCTCCACTGCCTTCAGGGGGACCTCCACCGCGCGCCCCTGATCCTTCTCCATCACACTCCCCAGCGCCTTCCTTGGCTTCCGACCCTCACGATCGGCCACTGGTCTGGGTTCATTTTTGCCCACAGCAGCCACCGATTGAGAACCCGGCCCAGCAGCCATGTTCCCCTTCTCCAACGGCTGGGATTTGCCTCGGCGCGGCTTCCTCTTCTTGGGAGTGCCCTCTTCGCCGCCCATTTTTGAACCTGCAGCCATCGTGTTCGCCGAGGGTCCCTCTTCCCGATGCCCAGCAGACTTCATGGGCATCTCTTGGGAGACTGCGCTCCCATTTTTGATATTTCGTGGGACAGCTTTAGCACGACGCGGCTTCCCCTTCCTTGGCGTATCAGCCATTGCTGTGACCGGAGGGATAGCCTCCGCATGCCGTACTTCAGCACCACTCTGCACTCCAGGCGCATCAACCATGTCATCATCAGAGTCATTATCCAAGAGGAGGCGACGGCGGCGCGTGTCCGCATGAATTCTTTCGATGTGATCCTCACAGTGGGCATCATCCGTTCCCAGCCTTGTTGGTGAAGAGTCCTGGCTGTCCTGCATCATCGCAGAATCGTCATCTGGAGTCTCCTTCCTAGCCTCCGATAGCTTCGACCGGTGCTTGCCTAAGCGAATTTTGGGGTGGCGATGGAGGACGACCCTTCCCGGGCTACTACGTCGGGCCGGTGATTTTTCCTTCCCCTTCCCTTTATTTGCCAGCTGCTTCACCGAGAGAGTTTCCCCTGCGGCAGCGACCGAGGGCTCGGCCTTCATCAGTTTCCCAACCGCCGCTCCAGCCGCACCCATCGGTTTGCCTTGCCCCTGGCGATTAATCCACACAGATCGTCTAGCTCCCCCCATCACGGGATCGCTCACATCATCCTCATAAATCTTGCGGCCCACTTGTTTGGTAATCATATGTGGTCCGAACCGCTCCTGACCGTTTGGTGGATCATGATTGCAGTCACGGCGAGCATGACCAACCCGGTCACAGCGGAAGCAAAAGTTCGGCAAAAATTCATATTTGAGGCTCACCCAAAAGCCATCCATATCTTCACAGATTGCCATTAATTGCGAGCGGAGCGGCTTTGCAAAATCTATAATAGTATTCACTTTGATAAAACGCTCTCCAGAATCTTTACAGGCAAAGATTCTTGAGTCCAGCACCTTGCCCATGGTAGTGGCTATTAATTTTTGGCCAAACAACTTGGTGCACAGGTCCTCTTGCACTCCCCAGAGCTGCACACGAAAAGGGGCCTTAGCCATTTCATCAAAAACGCCCTTCGAGATGGCAGGGGACCATTGACGAAGGGTCAGCAGGCGATCCTTGATGATCCATGGGTTTCTCGAGAGAGCCCACTGTTTGGCCTCCTCGTTCGGCAGCACAATTTCAAAGAGACCCTGCTTTGTTTTCAGCACCTTTAGCTGGCCACGAATCTTCCATGCATCAAGCAGCCCTTCACGCAGCTCCATGGTCGTGACGCGATCGTTGGTAAAAAGCCGACCCAATAGAGTGCGAGAGGCTCGGTACCGGGTCGATTGCACCTCTTCCAGGGAGAATTGCACTACTTGGTCGTTCGCAACATGGGCCATTTTGCACAGCTCCTGGTTATAAGAAAAAATAGAAGGATGATGATCCTTTGTCATATACTCTTGTGACGTGATCACCCCAGGACTCGGGCAAGGGTCTCGCCCAGGGGATTGACTACTAAGCAGAGATGTATAGGGAATAATACTCGAGGTATCATAGGGGAAAAACCAAGTACCTGGGACAGTTCTCCACGCGGACGAGAGAGTTGAAAATGCCGAGGTAACAGGTCTTCCACCAAACCAAAAGCGAGCGAATGATATGCTCATAGGTTTCGGTGGGGATAATATATATAGAGATGCCAAATCCAACTCCAAACCGCCTCGGAGAGTCCCAGTACGCATAGGAGTTGGAAGTCGATTAGGACCCGGACTGTTAACAAATAATGGATTTTGGGGAGGATAATCCCGATGGGCCTTATCAATCTGGCGCAAATCTCTTGTCACCGAGATAATAGGGGAATCAAATTTTGAACAGACCACCCAATCCTGGCTCGAACGAAGATCCCGGATTTGGGGGGATCCGCCGACGGGCACTTCAGTCGGCTCATTGGTTGGTTCCGACGAAGAAACGAGGGGTCGGAGAATATGCAGTGACCGTACTTCCACCGCCTCCGCAGCAAAGTCCCGACCCTTCCCCCCGAATTGATCAGCCATGAAGTCGCCATGATAATTTTTGTTTTTACCAGCTTCCCCGACCATGGATAACAGTGACTCGTCACCTACCAGGTCAACCGATGAGGGGATCTGAGCCCTCCATGCAGCCGTGGTTATCAGCGACTCGTCGCCTACCAGGTCTACCGATGAAGGGAGAATAAATCGCCAAGCACTACGCCGGACACACCTGCCTTTCTTTGCAGGTCTAGGATTAAGAGGAACCCTAGCGAGTGTTAAACTGAGATCTTCACACCGCGGTCGCTTACGTTTGCGATCGATGTTCTTCTCTTCATTGTAGATGTTCTCCGGCAGCCAGGTCTTCCAACCGCATCTACGCTGCACGTTGCGAGCCGTTCCAAACCCATGGATAGATTTCACGAGCCGTACTCTAGCATTGCAAGTGCGGACGCCATTTTGATTCCTTAAGCTTCGCAGAAGGAAGGATGAAAGAAGCGCCAGGATCAATCCACCCAGTCGTCGCAAGCATACGAGGAGAGAGGAGAGAGCGCCTCTCCTCAGTTTTTTTTTTTTTTTTTCCTTTCAAAAGTGGTGTTGTCTGGTTAAATATGCTTTTACGTACATAGAAAAAACGGGAAATGGGGCTGTCAAAGAAAGAAAAAAAAAAGGAGATTTTTTTTAGCCATTTGACTTAAACAAAGCATATTAGAAAGTGTCCGAGTGTGATGGTGAGGACGACTACGATGACTTCCTAAATGTGGAGGAGCTTTCTTCACGGGCAATCATCTTGAGGAAGGTGGCTCTAGTGGATATAGACCACAATTCGAGGACAATTTTGGGACTTCTATGTCGTCTCAGTTTTTCAGGTTAGACATGGGGCTCTTGATAAATTTTTGAGTAATCACAATTCACAACCCATTTCGTAGGAGGCCGAGACTAGTAGGAAGAACAAGGCAACATATATTGCACGATAGAGATTTACAAGGCCATGGTGTAAGAAACCCGCTTTTTAGGGCTTCTAGGGACTGATCTTCGGCACCCGTGTTACTCGTACGAATAAGAATTTAGGGAATTGGGGATAGGAATTAGGGATTTAGATAGGAGAATTTGAGATTTAGGGATTGAAAAACAGAATTGGGGAGAATTAAGGAGAACTGGCCGAAGCCTTTGGGAGAGAGATAGACGAGATTTGAGAGGATTTTGGGAGAGATTAGGGTTGGAAATGATTCTTAATATTCTTCTTGACTGATCCATAATGAAAGCCAACTTACATATTTATAGGAAAATACGTGTAAACCCTAACAAATAACCTCATTCGACTAAATCTCTACTAACCATAACGATAATTATCCTACCATAAATAAATAGAGAAACCCACGAAAATTGGGTTTCTAACAATCTCCTCTTGAAAACGACCTTGCCCTCAAGGTCGTAGCCGACTTTCGTCTTTGTGACCTTCTGCTTCCTTCGTTTCCAGATGCGCTCCTGCCTGCGAAGGAAGTCATCTTCAACAATTTTCACTTCCCTCGACTTTTCTCGAAGCACGTGACACGTGCATGTTCTCCATAGCTAAACAATTCTTCCTCCTCTCTTTCTAAGTCCACCAAATAAGAGTGTGAAAATTGTTCTTTCTTGTCCTCCATAATTATCTCCATGGACTTAGTGGTGGAAATAACCCCTAGCTTCAACAAACCTTCATTTCCTACATCTTGGATTTGGCCCACAATTGCTTGGAGTAATGAGGTGCTCTTCTTCTTCTTCTTAATTTCGTTTGGGCTTACAAGCCCACTTGCCAACCTCATAACTCCTTCCTTCTTTTCCTCCAAGCCTATCTCTTTAAAATCAGATCCAACGTTGGGCTTAAGTCCTCTTTTCTGCATTGGCCCAACACCATATAAGAGAGACTTAATTCAACAACCCAACTGAGGCCCACTTCTTTCTGCCTTCAAGTTATGCTCCCGCAGAATAGAGCCCACTAGTGGCTCAAGTTCCACTTGAAAAAGCGATCAAATAACTCCATGAGTCCAACTGATCTCTTTCTTGTCTTGCCTAGGATTCTTTTCTTGTTTGGCCCAAGTCTGACCCAACCTTGGACTGTCTTGTCTGTCGGACTGGCCCATGACAAATCTCCCTTGCAGATCTATTTGGCTCGACGCGTGCACAACAAACTTCTTTTCTTCCTCGAGCCCGATCCGCGTCGGCCTTTGCTTTGGCCGGTTAGGGCTTACGACCCAACCATCTTTGCCCATCAAGAGCCCGAGCCACTCCAAGCTTCGGCGGCCTAGGGTTTCAGGGGAAGAGAACTCGCCTCCCTCCAACTTCTCGCTTGCCGGCTACTTCTTCTCCGCGCCGGCCACTACAGGGGACGGCGCCAACCACACGACTAGAGCCTCAGTCGTCTCCACTCTCTCCGGCTTCTCCTCTCTCGGCGTCGAACTTCCCAGCCGATAACACGGAGTCGAGAGCGCTCCCAGCCACATCTCCAACCCGTTCGTCTTCTTCTCCATCGGTGCCACATCATCAGATCGCGGTGTAGGCGCGATTCGGGTCTCCGTCGTGGACAACCGACGATTCTGCTCCTCTGCTTCGCGCCCTCAGTGATATTTGACGTCGCGCTTCTCTACCATCATCTTCTTCCTCGGCGACGGGCAGATCGATTGTCGTCGTGGAGGCCGGTTGCTTGCGTACCCGGCGCCTCGGTCGTCGTCTGCCTCGTACACAGATGGCGGCTCAACTTCGATCCCCCAAGACTACGACACCGAGACCCCCGCGCTTCAGACCGAGTCTCGGACTCCGCTTCCTTTCTTCCTTGCCCCGCCGATGAGTAGCTCACCAAATTGGTGATCGGCGACCTAAGTCTCGTCTGGCCAACCTTGTAGTCCCAGCGGTCAACGACCAGTCTGGAGCTGTCGTCGATTGCGGCGTCACAGGAGATCTTCCCGCCACCTCGTTTCTCCCTGTTACAATCCTTACCATTTATAGCAGCTTGCTCGGTTGATGAGGAGTTGGGAAACTTTGCACACCCCAACCATAGCTCTCGTTTCCTTTTCCTGAATTTCCAGGACACCGCAAATTGGCGTGGGGACATCGACTGTTCCACCGAATTCATTTTTTTCCGCACCTGTTCTCGTGAACCTCTGTCTCCAGAGAACTCAAGGTAGCTTTTCTCCTCACCTTCCGCCGAATTGATTGACAATGTCATGGCTACGACTGCGGCTTTCGACAATGGCGGAGGGGTGATAACAACACTGGCGGTTTCGAGCATTAGTAATGGCTCTTCTTTCCTTGGCGGTTTCAAGAGCAGCAGCAGATTGATGTTCTTGCTATCTGCATCGGATAGAGGAACAGGTAGTGATGATGGTGTCGGTGTTGTTGCAGAAGAGGCAGCCGCTACAGAAGCTTCTTTCTCGGTCTTCACAGCGGCAATGGTTTCTCCTTTCTCGAACTCGATTGGGAACGCCGGTTGTTCCAACCAATCTTCAAAATACATTTCAGCAACCACTGGTTCGATTATTGCTGCAGTTGGAGGTGGGGTTGGACTCATCTCTACTCTCACAGTCTCCAACTTCATTCTAAGAACCCTGGTGAGTTCTGAGAGTGAGATCCCTTCAAATCTCGACATGGCTCCGGCATGAATGCCTGCAACCGGGCTCTGATACCACTGTAAGAAACCCGCTTCTTAGGGCTTCTAGGGACTGATCTTCGGCACCCGTGTTACTCGTATGAATAAGGATTTAGGGAATTGGGGATAGAAATTAGGGATTTAGATAGGAGAATTTGAGATTTAGGGATTGAAGAACAGAATTGGGGAGAATTGAGGAGAACAGGCTGAAGCCTTTGGGAGAGAGATAGACGAGATTTGAGAGGGTTTTGGGAGAGATTAGGGTTGGAAATTATTCTTAATATTCTTCTTAACTGATCTATAATGAAAGCCAACTTACATATTTATAGGAAAATACCGGTAAACCCTAACAAATAACCTAATTCGACTAAATCTCTACTAACCATAACGATAATTATCCTACCATAAATAAATAGAGAAACCCACAGAAATTGGGTTTCTAACACATGGCTAGTGGCATTTGGATTGTTTTTTCATACCTAGTTTGAAGGTTAAGTGGCTTCCCATTTTTGGAATGAGGGTTGAGAGGCGCAATGAATGAGACGTTCTCTCCTGCACTCACAATAAGGTCGTCAAGGATTTGAAAAAGAAGTACCAATTTCGGAGTTAAGGTGCCGTGATGATGGTCGATGAGACGGAGTTGTGAGGCTCAATGAATGGAGACGTTCTCTCCTGCACTCACAACAAGGTACTCAAGGATTTGAAAAGAAGTACCAATTTCGAAGTTAGGATTTCGTGATGATGGTCGATGAGACAGAGTTGTAGAAGTTGCTCGACTTCTTGATCAGTTACTTGGACGTGCCTCTAGTTATAGTGGTTGTGGACAGGTGACAGCCAGGCCCCAACGCCTTTTACATATTGGTTGGAGAAATTACCACCACGCTCCATGACCAAACAGTCTTAAGGCACCGCAAGATGGTTCATAGTCTCTTTTGAATGTATGTGTTCATGATGTCTCATGCTCTTTCCTAACTTTGATCATCTTTGATCATCTTGGAGGAGTTAAGGAAGGAGGAATCCATCCAAGATCCAAAGAGAGTTCAAGCTTTTTTCTTCTTCCTAGCTTGTATTCTTTTCTTCCTAGTTAGAGATTCTCCTTGAGAACCCAGTCCATCAGTTTTTTCCAAGCTCCTGCGCAGAGCAAGGGAGGATACTTTGGTATTTTTAAACACCCAATTAATTAATTAAAATTAAAAGGATCTCCGACTCCAACTTAAAAGGTCCCATCGTTGTTTAACTCCAACTTAAAAAGTCTCATCGTTGCTTAATTGACCTGCTATGTTGTATTTATCTTTTATTTTTATCAGTAGTTTCGTTTCTTTATCCATTTATAATCTGATTAGTTGTATAATGCAAAATTGTTTTTCTTTTATTAATTTTTAATAAACCATCTCATTAGTTTTACGTTGAATATTAATATTTAATAAAAAATCAAATTAATTATACTACATAACATAATATCTACTTTGACATGTTTTAGAATAAAATAATTTTTTGATAAAAAAAAGAATAAAATAATTTTATTAGTGTGTCATACAACATCCTCGCATAATATCTACTATGCTATAAAGTATTGGTGCTTTAATGTACAACTTAAAGTTGTACCATAACGTTAAATGTATAAGTTCGGGTTGTACCATAAAGGAATTTGTACTCTTATGTTATGGTACAACTTTACAACTTAAAGTTGTACCGTCACATAAAGGTACATGTTTAAATTGTACCATAAAAGAATTTGTACAAAGAGTATAATTACATTTTGAAGTTGTACCATAACGCTAAAAGGTGGCATTGTCTTAATAACCCCATAATCACCCTACTACAAAAATATAATTCCAATAATTCCCCATTGGTTAGCGTTAGGAATGGTAATGAGCAGGTCTGGGCAGGGTATCTCGATACCCATACTCGCCCCCTGGCAAGTCGGGT